GATTTATTACAGACTAACTTATGATATTATTTTCTTATTCCAGCTATTATTTAGTAATTCATGAAATAGCTTAAATACAATCAACAAAAGAAACAAAGAAAAAAAAACGAAATTAAAACTTCAAATTTTCATTCTTCATATGTATTCATGATTCATGTTTCGGATTACAATAACCAGCTTTTCAGTTGTGTACCTGACATTGGAAGCAAAAGAAAATGAATATGAGAATCAGCAGCAGCAGTAAAATTAGTACAACACAGCAACAATAGCCCAGCAACAGTAACAAACCAGTNGCTGGACGGTCGAGGTTGAAACAGAAGTAGCAGCAGCCGGAAGTGAAGAAGAAGGTGGAACGGGAAGTAGCAGCACGACAGTAGCGACTTGCCTGAGAAGGAGCAACGATGGGTGTTGGTCGGAGCTAAGGCATCGTGACGAAGAAGATGAAGCATCTGGTTGGTACTGTGAGAACGCTGCAAGAAGCAACACGTGAAGCTGGGGTCGACGCAACAGCACTGCTGCTCGTCAATGGCGGACATGGGAGGGGCGCTGTTCGTTTTGATGAAGATGAAGGAGAAGAAGCAGCAGCCATGGATGGGCTGCTGCGTGTGTGCGCGTATGTTTTGTTGTGTATGTGTATGTGTGTGTTGTTGATGGGGAGGTAGCCATGTATGGCTTGGGATTAAGGTTTTGGGAGGAAGAAGATGGAGGGGGCGGGTAGGTTCTTTTAGTTTTTTTTTTTTAGGGTTTTTTCCTTTGTCTTTTGTTTTGTGTTTTGATAAAATGAAGAAAGGGTATTGGGTTAATGGGTCAATAGGGCGGACCGGGTCGACCCGTTCTGAAGTGGACTGGGTCATGGAGAAGATTGGGCAATTTTTTGGGTCTTTGGCTTACAATTGAAGAAGTGGCCCAATCCGATTTTCTTTTGTATTTTTGTTCTCTTTTCTTCTTTTATTTTCTAAAACTGAACGACATGTTAGAGCTCAAAATGACTGGTCCGGTCATTACATTCTCCCCTACTTAAACATACGTTCGTCCTCGAATGTGCCATGAACCATTCCAGAGTTGCCCAAAATCACCGTTTAACACGTCGTGTACCTACTCATGCCATCATAACCCATATGAGCACATTAGCTCTAGCCAGATTAAGATCCTTCTTACAACCTTAGCCCATAAGCCTTAGAACAAAATTTCAACGTTCGGAATTCTTTACCAGGTCATATTCTAACATACGCACGCCGTATCAATCTCAACAAGCTGTGCCAAAACATGATCATACACTTGAATCCCAAACAAAGATAACGTTTGAACTTGATTCTTCAAAGACCTTCAGCTTCGAACGGGTCTTCCACCAACTCGTCAAATGAAACATAACAACAAATAGAACCCTAAGGAACAACGAAATCGAAGGATTTTGCAACAGGTCCTTCGATTTTGGTCAAGCAAATTGATTTTGGTGAGGCAAATCGAATCTTTGAAGGTGGGGCATTAGGGTTCTTCAATTTGGGATTTTTTTTACTAACGGGGTGAATGAGAGTGTTTTAGTAAATAGAGGAAGGCTGTTATTTTTATTTACTGAACAATTTAATTACGTGGCTTCATAATAAAAGCGTGTGTTTCCCACTCAAGTTATTATAGTTGGGTTAGGGCTTAGGAGGGAGTAAATAAATACAATTATTTTAACAATAGTGAGGTGTTAGGATACCCGTAAAGTTTAGGTGTGTAAATGATTTTCCAGGACAAGTTTTGTGGTCTTTATGCATTTTCTCTAAATAGTATGTGGATGAATGTCCATCTGTGAATAGTTTGTGGATAGATTTCCATACTTTATGTCCATCCCTTGCACTATTTTACTATAGTAGTCTTCACCTTTTATGCCTATAAAAAACTATGTAAATGGCGGTGGAAACACACACCAGAAGCCATGAAAAACTCCTTCCTTCTATCTGTTTCTTGTTTAAGTTTTACTAAATTACTTTTATTTCTAATCAAAATATAATAGTGTTTCGCTTCTATTTTTTGTTCCACTTGTCTATTGTACTTGTCAATATTAGACTCCTATAAACCTTTTGATTCATGAAGACTATGCTTACATTAACAACTACTCAACTCTCTCTCCGTCATTTACTTTAAGCTTTCTGATAATATAGAAACGCTATATTGTTTTCTATGCAAGAAGGCTCTGTTAACGATCACTGATATGGACTATCAATAAAATCTCTCTCTCTCTCCTTTCCATTCATCATTTTACTGTTCAATCGATTATTTTAGCTAAATGTTGTAGTATGACAGTAACGTGAAAATTTTCTTGTTGGAAGTTTTCTTTTAGAACCAAATTCGAGATATATTTACTTAGAGAATAAAGTTCGCAAAGACTGATTTATGAATTCATAAACTTTTTTCTTTGGCTTTGTTTAAGCACGTCACCCACTAGATCATGAATTTGCAAGTATTTCAACTTGCCATCACTAGGCTACAAGAAATTATATCCATCAAGTAACATTCTGCCTCCTCAAATCTTCTTTCATCACTACATTGAACGAACCCTTCGGATATCCAGAGTAACATCAATCGGGGTACTCTAATTTTTGCATCCTCTCGAAGTATTCCATAGATAGAAGACAATGTCTTAAATGAACCGGTAAATACAGTAACTTAATTTAACTGCCAAGCTGCTCTCATTTTCAACTACACCAACATCGGACTTCAAATTATTTGCAACTTCACACCATCTGAGCCAGTTTCTTTTCTTTGCAATGATTGCGCCAATCAAGACAACTGTAAGAGGCAGTCCGTAACAATATTGTGCAACTTGTAGTCGAATGCTCGGAGTTCAGGGGGCAAGTTTCCTTTCCAAATACTTCTGCAACAATTTCCAACTCTCATCCCTAGTCATGAATTGAAGACTATAAGAACCATTATGTCTCATGACTTCCTCTGCCACTTGTTCTAATCGACTTGTTAACATAATTCTGGTTCCATTTCCACCAATTGGAAACATAATCTTAACTCATCCCATGCTTCGACATCCTATATCATCCAGGATAATGAGAAATCTTTTGCCCATCAGACATCTGCGCAACATATCAGCTATATCGTCATTGGGGTGCACATGGTGCTTAACACCTGTGACTTGCCCAAAGATGTTAATTAATAGCTTTCTCAGATTATATGTTTGCGAGATAATACACCACTCGAATATCAAAGCGAGAAAACATAGAAGAATCTTTGGATATCTTTGTGGCCAAAGATGTCTTGCCCTAGACCAGGCATGCCAACAATGGAGATAGTATCCGATTCCTCTGTTTCTCTAGTCAGTAGATGAATTAGCTTCTCAGTATCATCCTCAAACCCCACAGCTCTTCAGTTATTTGAATACAGCGTCTAGGAGTTGGAGCATTTTGATTGATGTTAACGTCCTCCATCCTGATAAGCTTTGATCTATTTTCTGATTGTTCAGGTCGAAATGCTTGATGTCAGAGAACAGTGTGCCTAACATGAATAAGAGCAATGGCATGGTCAATCTCCAGTAAGCAATAAAAAAACAGTGATTGTAGAGGAAGAACCATAAAGATCAGGAAAAAAAGGTGCAAACAAAGGTAACACTCCAGTTAGAATTTAGACAAAGATTAGGAACTCTTAATTCTCTGACATAGATATGCAAATTCCCAGTTACTACCCCCCCCCCCCCCCCCCCCCCNATTCATGAAAAGCTAATAAAAAAGGAAGAAGTATTAGGATTTCTTTGACTTTTGGGAAACTTAAAGAAAACAGAACTCAATGTGCAAGTGCATTAAAAAACAAGTTCAATAGATATGCAAGTCATAGAGGTACTGATACTCCCTCTATCCTAAAAGGTTTGACTTTTTCTTTTTCTTTCCATAAAAAATGTCTACATTTTTCTAATTAAGAACCCAATTACACAAATTTGAGACATCACACAAAAGAGTAGTTCTTTGATCATCTTATCCACATCAAAATATCAAACGGTAGATTAGTCAATTAGTAGGATTAACTCAATAACATCTTTAGTCCCTTGAAAGAATCTATATCCCCAATTTCTAGCATCACTTAGTATTTATTATCTCAATACATAATTTGCAAACTGGGAAATTTCTTGTCCACACAGATCTTAAAGATTTCCAGCCTGACAACATAAATATGAGGACGGGCCGACAGGGTGACCGGTGCTCGAGATCTAGTGACAATACTGTCTTTTGTCCAAGAGAGAGCAGCATCACTAACTGAAAATCTGTCCGTCTAAAAAATAACAGCTTTGACATGGGCGATTGCATATTTAGCTCTAAAAATCCAATTCCAGAAGCAAAATTATCATCAGTCTGGAATACAGCAGAAACCAGGTTGTTAGTTCTAATGTTGGATTACCTGAGCTGCTGCCCCCGTCTTTGGTAAAATAGAATGCATCCAATTTGTGAAATCAACGAATTAACCATTCAAAAATTGAAGGAGTATTCTCTTATCCATCTTCTTTGATAATGTTTATTATTGCAAAACAAGTAAAGTTTCTTTTCCTTCATTGTAGGTTGAATCTGTAAAGCCAAGACTTGATAAGAAGCGTACACTTCAATATAAAAATCCCTGGCTTTAGCTACATTCTGGTGAAGCAGTTTGGAAGGTGGTATTATCTTCCCAGTTATAGGTGCAAATAGATTAGCCAAGTTCTTTTAAGTCACCACAGTAGAAAGCTGATTGATGCTTCGAAACCACCAACCACTTGAACAAATATGGTAAGCCAGATTTCACGATCATTGCCATCTCCAAGAAACTCTAAAAGTACTCGCAATGAAGATGGAGAATTCTATGAGGGGCCTGCTCTTAAGATAACTCAGTCACAATATATTGAAGAGCTCCAAGATCTTATTTCCGGCATAAGAGCTGAAAACATTAGGACTACATAAACAGTATGCCTCTCACGTAACTTTCAAAGCTGTCACAATAGACTAACCTTGCCACCAATGGTAATGAAGAAATATGATGCAAAATTAGAAGTTACAGATGAAAAAAATCAAAATGCTATAGAAGTTAAGGCCAGATGCAAAAACAAGAAGATTGACTAGTTTACCAGAGAGAGAGAAAGAAGGAGCCAAAGATCGAACGAAGAAGACAAAACTGTTTACTGAAGATAAAAAGTGAGAAGAATAAGTCACAAGCGAACCTGGCGATCATGCGATGTTATCAGTAGAGTCCATGCCTGTGTTCATGGTGTTTCTTCATGAAACAAGCTTCTGCCCCACTGTATTCACTATCCCCAATTTTTTGAACTCCAGCACTTAAACTGCAGACATAAATGCTCCAAAACATCAATAGGGGTTTAACAGCATTGTCGAATTATTAGTCATAGCAAGGAATATTGCAAATGCTCAGCAGGATGTACATGACATTTCCTTCAAATGATTTAAACCCCAAAATAGACAACTCGGTACAAATTCTTCGTGTAACCAAAATTTATAATTTGAGAAATCACTATGAGGAAGCTGAGCCCATCCTGCTATAAGCGGGTTCCTTCCTTATATTATTCGTTTCCATCAACACTCTGATTCCGTTCGCATCATCCCACCTTCCAGCATCGGCATACATGTTATATAGCAAACAATAAGGGCCTGAACTCTCCGGTTCCAGGCGCATTAGCGCTTCAGCTGCTATTCGCGCAAACTCAACATTGTTGTGCACCCTACAAGCACCTAATACTGCACCCCAGACAGCCTTATCTGGCTCCACTGGCATAGTGTTAATCACTTTCATGGCCTCCTCAAGCTGTCCGTCGCGGCTAACAATATCTACAAGGGAGGCAAAATGCTCAACCTCAGGTTTAATGCCAAATTCAGAGTCCATTGATTTAAAATATAACCGACCTTGTTCCACTAAACCAGCATGAGCACACGCATTCAGAACTGAAATGAACGTGATGCGAGTTGGCCTCACTTTAAGGCACTTCATTAATTCAAAAAGCTCTAGGGCTTCAAATGCAAAACCATGAGATGCGTATCCTCCGACCATTGCATTCCATGAGATTACGTCTTTTTGAAATTTCATATTATCAAAAATTGTCCTTGCTTCATGTATTGCACCACATCTTGCGTACATAGTTATTAAGGAATTGTTTAAAGGTATATCTGGTATAACAGTCTTTGACACTAACTGATGAATCTGCATACCCAGAAACAAAGCCACAGTTTCAGCACAAACACTTAGAAGTGAGGAGAGTGTGTGCCTATCAGGTTTCTCTCCTGCCTGTTGCATCTCCATGAAAAGCTTTATTGCTCCTTTATAGTCTGCATTTCTTTCACACCCAGAGATCATGGAATTCCAAGAAACCCGATTCTTCTGGGGCATCCTTTCAAAATAATCACGGGCCAATTCCAACTTCCCCGTCTGTGCATATCCAGAGATTATTGAATTCCATGATAGTACATCAGGATTTCGCATTTTAGAGAACAGGTTTGATGCTTCATCCATATTTGAGGCATGAACATAGCCACTAACCATTGTGTTCCATGAAAATGTATCCCTCTCCATCATCTGATCAAAAAGCTCTCTTGCAGAAACCATAACTCCGGCTTTGATATAAGNGTCATCTGATCAAAAAGCTCTCTTGAAGAAACCATATCTCCGGCTTTGATATAAGCCATGATCATGGAATTCCATGATACCACATTTCTCTCAAATCTCTTCTTTCTGCTAATTCCTTGAGCACTACTATAAGAAGGAACTTTATCAAAAAGGCGTCTAGCATCACCAGCCCTTCCTTTCTGACCATATCCAGCAATCAAAGTGTTATAAGCATGAATCAAATCTTCTGTCCCATCATTGCTTTCTCCAAATTCATAAAGAACATTTTCAGCCTCATCCAATTCCTCATTCTGGATCAAACCCGATACAAGTGCACCAAGAGAAGCTGAATCCCTCTCCGGCATTCTCTTGAAATATTCTACAGCAGTTTTCACATCCCCGTTACGCAAAAATCCAGAAATAACAGCATTCCAGGACACGACATTCTTATCAGGCATACAGTTAAAAAGCTTCAGTGCTTCATTCATTTTTCCAGCTTTAGCATACCCACTAATCATCGTGTTCCAGGAAACGAAGTCTCTGCTAGGCATTTCATCGAACAATTTTCTACCTTCCTCCAAATGTCGACAGGACAGATAACCAGAAATCATTACATTCCAGGAGACAACATCTCTCTGCGGCATTTTATCGAACAGGTATCTTGCTTTTACAATCTCACGTTGTTGCACGTACCCACTAATCATTGAGTTCCACGTAACCGTATTTCGATGCGTTAACATACCGAATAATCTTCTGGCATCCTCTACTCGACCATTTCGAATTAAGTTCGTGATGTTCTTGTTCACTCTACGTATGTCTGGAGGAGCATCAGAAATCTTGGTCGAACGACAACGTATTGGTTGACCAGAAACATATGGTGCAATGAGATGGCTTAGCTGCCTGTTTATTGCAGACCTCCTTAAGCTGCTTATATTCCGGCACCAAATTGCCATCGCTGAGACTTTTAATGCAAACAGGCTAAAAGGTTTTAAGCTATATTTGTAATTTAGTGCTTATCAGATATTAAAATGTAGTTTGTTACTAAATTAATTGATCTGTTTTGTTAAGATTGTCTTCAATCGTTAGAGGAGGAAGAATACCTATTGTTCAAAAACAGAGTGAGAAAGTTGAACATTTTAAACAAACTTTGGGTCAAATTTTAAATTTGGTTGTGGAGATCATAATCTAACTTGCCTTTAATAGATAAGTCCATGAATACTTGTATGTTCTTCTTAGGTATTGCTTTAATTTTCTTTAAATGTTTGCTATGACCACCATAATCAATTTGTACTCATTAGACAACAACAACAACAATATCGACCCACTAAAATTTCACAAGTGGGGTCTAAAAAGGGTAATGTGTACGTAGACCTTACCTCTACCCCAAATGGGTAGAGAGACTGTTTCCGATAGACCATCGGCTCAAGAAGACGAAAAGAGACAATATATCAGGCTGTTTCCGATAAACTCTCGGCTCAAGAAGACGAAAAGATACAATATATCAGTATCACCAATAAAAAAAAATCATAGAAATAATAACAACATCACAAAAACCAGTGAATAGATGGACATCATAAATAATAACTACTACTAGTAAATAAGGCCTGATACTATGAAAACGGGAAAGAAGGATATCAGTATCACCAATAAAAAAAAATCATAAAAATAATAACAACATCACAAGAACCAGTGAATAGATGGACAGCATAAATAATAACTACTACTAGTGAATAGATGGACAACATAAATAATAACTACTACTAGTGAATAGATGGACAGCATAAATAATAACTACTACTAGTAAATAAGGCCCGATATTATGAAAACGGAAAAGAAGGATGTGCACCAGCCGAGAATCGAACCGGGTCTATACCGTGGCAGGGTACTATTCTACCACTAGACTACTGGTGCTTGGATTTTGTACTCATTAGACATTATTATTATTATTATTATTATTATTATTATTATTATTATTATTATTATTATTATTATTATTATTATTTTGTTGTTGTTGTTGTTATTATTATTATTATTATTATTATTATTATTATTATTATATGTGCTACTAAATTCACTAACTTGCTAGTTAAAATTGTTATCTCCAAGCTAAAATAGTGACCGAGTCCGACTCAAGCGAATGAAAACGATCCTTTTGCGCTAATATTGTAAGGTTCGAAATGGTGTACTGAGAATCTGAGATAGAATAGATTAATGATCCTTTAGTCATTTAATCCTCTGTTGAAAGAAAAACTTGTATTTTTTGCTTCCTTTCGGTGCGGATGGAGCATCGGATATTAGGGTTCATCTAAATTCAATACTTTCAAGCATAACATAAATTTATATATAAACACCTACTAAAAATTGCAAGAAATAGTAAATTTAAATCCATAATTTTAAGATTGAACCCGTAAAATTTAAATGCTAAATTCGCCTATGCTTTCCCTAATACTATATAACTGGTCCCATCTATCTTCAAAGAATACTTGTTGTTCAAAAACAATTTGGGAATTGAACATGTTAACCAAACAACGGGTCAAATTTTGAATTTGGTTGTCAAGATCATAATCTAATAAGTATGCATTTACTGTATAACTTCATACTTGTCAAACTCTTATTAGATTTTGTCACGACCTGGATTTTCCACCATCGGGAGTCGTGATAGCGCCTACTCATAGAAGCTAGGCAAGCCACGGAATTTAGAAATTCTTTACTTTTTTGTTTTAATCCTTTTTAACAACTTGCTTTAACAGGTGATAAACATTTAAATAATAGCGGAATATGAGATTAAGCGGAAGACTTAAACAAAATAAACCAAAATAATACGAAAATCAACATATGCCTCTACACAGAAACTGGTGTCACAACATTCACGGACCGTCTATGACTACTACATACAATTGTCAGAAGGAAAGAAACACAGTCTGTCTCGGATACAAATGATAACAGAACATAATAATAGATAGAAGAGACGCCGGGTCTGGGGACGCCTGCAGGACTACCTCGGAATCTCGGTGGACTGAAGGCTGGTTCCCAAGCTACTGATCCAATGTTGCTCTGGTATCTGCACAGAGTGCAGAGTGTAGCATCAGCACAACCGACCCCATGTGCTGGTAAGTGTCTGTCCTAACCCCGGCGAGGTAGTGACGAGGCTAGGACCAGACTCCAGTTAAACCTGTGCAGTTATATAATATATGGAAGAAAATAAACAGGAATAAGCAATTTAAATGGGAGGGGGTACATGTTTCGGGGAATATACCAAATCCAACAGCAACTTAATAAGATATGAAAGGACAATTCAATATCTACAACAATACAATAACAATATTGTTGTTGCGCGCAACTCGATCCCTTATCATTTAATATTGTTGCGGCGTGCAACCCGATCCACATATATAACTGTTGCGGCATGCAACCCGATCCACATATATAACTGTTGCGGCGTGCAACCCGATCCATAAATATATATATTAATGTTGCGGCGCGCAACCCGTCCCAAATATACCGTCAACAGTGATCATAATAACAGTCCCGACAAGGGGTCAACAATAAACTACACTATCCCGGCAAGGGAATTCAACAGTACAAGTATATACGTCCCGGCAAGGGAGAATCTGCTATAACCAATCTTAACTCAACTCATATTCATCTCAATTATTACCATTTCTCGCTCATAAATATCTTCCACGAAAATAAACTTAAGTCTTTACTCATTATCAAGAATTCATCCACTATAGCATTCGTAATATCATTTAAGAATACAACAAGTATCAATTTAGGACTCACGGTCATGCTCGACACCAACGTATAAATACTCGTCACCATGCCTATACGTCGTACTCAACAAGAAACAATTAGCAATTAGGACTCAACTCCTAATCCCTCAAGCTAAGGTTAGACCGAACACTTACCTCGATGCCTCGAACACAACTCAAGTTTCAATTATAGCTTTACCCCTTGATTCCACCGCCAATTCGCTCGTATCTAGTCACAAATTACTTAATTACATCAATAAACGCTAAATGGATCAATTTGAATGCATGAAAAATGAGTTTTCTAAAGTTTTTACCCAAAAAGTTAAAATTGCCCCGGGCCCACGTGGTCAAAACCCGAGGTTCGAACCAAAACCCGATTACCCATTCCCCCACGAGCTCAGATATGTAATTTGTTTTGAAATCGGACCTCAAATCGAGGTCTAAATCCCTAATTTTTGAAAAACCTAGGTTCTACGCAAAACACCCAATTTTCCCATGAAAATCATTGATTTGAAGTTGAAATCATGTTAAAATATGTTAATGATTGAAGAAAACTAGTTAAAAATGACTTACAATTGATTTGGAGAAGAAAGGTTGTTTGAAAAATCGCCTCTTACGTTTTTGAGTTTTGAAAAATGCACAATGACTAAAAATCCCGTCTATTTATACCCCTCTCATACCCCCTGTGCAAACCGCACAAAATGGACCGGGGCCGCACAGGCCTTCCTGAGGGTACTGCGGTCCAGTGCCCTGTGCGGACCGCACGAAATGGACTGCGGCCGCACAGGCCTTCACCGCGCACCGCACAAAGCCGACGGCGCACCGCACTGGCCCCCTTTCGCGGTCGCACACATTTTCGTGCGGACCGCACTGGCGGGTTTAGAGATTTGTAAATTTCTCTGAACCTGCAACAAATGTGTTTTTAGGCCCAAGGCATCCCGGAACCTACCCGAAACTCACTCGAGTCCTCGGGGCTCCAAACCAAATATACACAAAATCCTCAAAAACATCGTATGGACCTACTCGTGCGATCACATCATCAAAATAACATGTAAAATCATGAATTAAACCTCGAAACTCAACATATTCATCAAGAACTCTCATCGTTCATAACTCTCCAACCGGAAGTCCAACTCACGTCAAATAAACTCCGTTTTTCACCAAATTTTACACTTATCTTTCAAATACTATAACAAGTTGGTACCGGGCTCCGGAACCAAAATATGGGCCCGATAACAATGGTTTCAAACATTAATTCTTTTCTTTATTCCTTAGATAATTCAGTAAAACAATTTCTTTCAAAAATTGATTTCTAAGGCTTGGGACCTTGGAATTCATTTCCGAGCATACGTCCAAGTCCCATATTTTCCTACGGACTCTCCGGGACCATCAAATCACGGGTCCGGGTCCGTTTACCCAAAACGTTGACCGAAGTCAAATTTATTCATTTTATAGTCAAAACTTATCATTTTTCACAGATTTTCACATTTAAGCTTCCCGGCTATGCGCCCGGACTGCGCACGCAAATCGAGGTGGTGTTAAAGGAGGTTTTTAAGGCCTCGGAACGTGGAATTTTATTGCAACACAAGTGATATAGATTTTACTTTAATTTGCTACTAAATACTATTGGTAAAGATCATTTATTTGTGCTTGCTACAAATATGTCGGCTAAACATGCTCTAAATAGAGTACAAAGGAAAAAGTGTTATCATCAAACACCTACACATATTACTTCGAAGTAAATTGTCTGACATTAGACCAATTGTTTAGATATGGTTTACAAAGTGATGACTTTTCTTCTTACCTTCATGGTGATCGGACTTTGTAAGTCTTTTCCTCTTTAAATTGTACATTGTTTTCCAAAATTTTCGATATATGAATATCGCACACTCCTCTTGATTTACTCGAAGTTCATTTTGTAGAACTTCTTATATGTAGTGGATTATTATATTTATGTATTTATTTATTTTAACATTTTTTTAGTGGATTGAGACATGCATAGTGGGGGAAAATAGTAAATGAAAGACTTCCTCGTATATAAGTTGCACCAACGGAAAGATAATAATTAAGTTTTTTCGTTTTATTTTAAATAAAATATAAAAATAAATTTAAAATTAAAAAATACTTTAATTCTTTCAAGATAATTTAAATATATTAAAAAAATATTTAACAAATATAAAAGCATTCACCCCATAAGTCACTATATATTAAAAAGTTATCCTAAAAATAAGAAGAAATACTTATATATTAATATCCTAAGTATTAAGTTTAAAATAAGTAAGGTTATTTCGATATATACGATATTTTGTTAAGGGCATTTTTGGTAAGAAGAAAAGTCAAAACTACTTCTACTATCGGGGATAAGCTAATTTTTTTCTGCTTCTTCACAAAAGCAC